GAACGGCCCGCCAAAACGTGGCCGGCCATGGTGTCTGTCGCGAAAAACCAGAGGAGAGAGGGAGAGACGCGCGGGAGAGAGAGAGAGAGACAGACGGGGGCATTTCCGTCTTTTAACCAAAAATCCAATTTCCAAATATTTACGATTATGCCACTGAGCTTCTTCTGACCATATCTCTCTCGTTACAACTCCGATTCGAGCCCACTACGTGTCTACGAACTCATCTCACCGTGCTCTACGCAACGGTACAACCGGAATTCCCAAATTCCTTTCGAGTAAGAAAATGACCAAAATACCCTTATCCCACGGGTAATTTCTCAATTCCACTTAAATTAATTACACATGGGATAAATTTGGGGTCGGGGTGTTACATTCCGAATGCCCAAACATCACTAAGTTGGGCCCAAAAGTGCCGAACCATTTTTCTGCATCAACAGTTTGGTGCCGAACCACATGGGGACCACATCAATACCCATATGTTTGCCAGAAGAGGGACTGCCGTTCGGAAGGCAAAACGGAGCTAGCCAAGCGTTACCCCCTTTCACTTCCTTTGGCAATTCACCCATAATACAAACTACTGCCGAAGCCAAGCTCCTAGCCAAATCACTTCTCTTCGGCAGGACATGGCAAAATTGCAGTAACATAACAATCTTCTCTCCTCTAAGGTAGACGAAACCCAACAGCTGCTCAATCAGCAACAGACACAAAATATCCAAACCATACAATCCTCTCAGAGCCTGCAGACTCCAAGTCGACAAAAGAAGGGTAAAAAGGGGGCAAAGGCAACGCTCGTGCCCTCCAAACACCTGGTAGTACCGGCTCCCAAAGATATACCCCACCTGCTGAAGAAAGTTTATACTGATTGTCGCCGTCGGCTGATAGATCGAGAAGCTGAAAAACAAAGGTTACCGATCCTCCCGTTTCTAACCTTCCACCTCGCGTGTTTGGGTGTGTTCTTTTGGTCCACATTCACAATCATCAACGAAGTAAGCTTGATCCTTATGTCTTGAAATGTGTTTTTGTGGGTTATGCATCATATCAGAAAGGGTATTGTTGCTATCATCCACCTATTTAGAAAATGTATGTCACCATGGATGTTGTGTGTCTTGAGAATGATATGTTCTTCTCCTCGAAGTCCTCACTTCAGGGAAAGAACTAGAAGGAAGTGCAATCGTGAATGAACTGGATTTAAGTGGTAGTAACTTGGAAATAAGTGGTGATTCTCATCCACATGAACTTGTAAACGTGAATGACTTGGATTTAAGTGGTGGTAATTTGGACTTAAGTAGTGATTTGCATTCACGAGAAAATGAAGATGAGATGGGCAATCCTGCAACGTCATCAACTGCCACAGAGCCGTCATCCTTCTTGTCACCGCCTCTGTTCGATTATGATACCCATAACCATTTGGTAGTCCAAGTGATGTATCGTTTGTTGCCTTTGAGGGCTTTGAAGAATGGAGTACATTGATCGGTGGCTTTAGAAATGAATCTTGTTAAAGCTACAACCCAACCGGTAAGACTTTGAATGTCACTTTGTGTCTTCAGCACCTGTATGTTTATTAGAGCTTTGATTTTCTTAGGATTTAATTCAATACCACGCTAACTAATTATGAAGCCAATGAATTTTCTCGAAGATACACCGAGGCTACAAATATTTTTGACTTATGGTTTTTGACGGAACGATTATCTAATGGTTGTTTACGATGGGATTCCATTCAAAACTTAAAAGGTTTTTAGTGCTTGTTTGGCATTGCTTATTTGGGGTGATAAGTGATTTTTTTAAAATTTTTTGAAACCTAGTGTAACACCCTGACTCCAAATTTATTCCTATTTTAATTAAATTAAGAGAATTATTAATTTACTCTTGGGTTAAGGGTAATTTTGGTCATTTTCTTATCCGGAAGGATTTTGGGACCACGAGTGGTTTGGTTGCGTAGGTGGTACTGAGACGAATCCGTAGACAGGCGGTAGGCTTGAATCGGAGTTGTAACGAAGTTTTGGCGAGTAAATTAGGTTCGGTGGCGCTACCGTAATTATTTCAAAGTAGGTTTGGGGTAAAATCAGATTTTTCACTTTTACCCCTCACTT